TGAAGCCCCCAGCCAAGTCTGCAATCCAGGTAGAGGCTTGGCCACCAGGATGGAGGACAGCGCTGTCTTCCAGGAACTAACCCACCCCCGGCCCTGGCTGCAGTGGCCCAGGAGCCGGGGCAGGTGAGGGTGGGGGGTACCTCTGCAGGCCCCACCTGGTGTCCATGTCCAGCTAGAACACAGGAGTGCGGCAGGAGAGGCAGGGCTAGACAACAAGGAGAACCTGGTGGCCACCGGGGCCCCGAGACGCAAGCCCTGCAAGGGCAGGGAGTTGGGGTGGGACTGGGGAGGGCCCTACGTGTGAGGAGGGAGCTGACTCTTCTGGAAGGATGGAAATGAAGCACTGACAGCCCATCCTCTCCCACCTCCCTCCACCCCCAGCGATGAGTCAGGGATTCCGCAGGATTCTGAATTCCTGTCTTCCTTTGGGCAATGATATTCGACACTCTCCTGGGTTTTCTCTCCTGCCACAGAAGTGAAATCTTCAACCATCCTCAAAGATGCCTTTCTCCATGGCTCCGGGGCAGGCCCGGGCTTTCCTGTGAGTCACGGGGACTGCAGAGCCCCTTCCTACCTCAGCCCTCCACCAGGTCTCAGATTCCCGGCTTGTACATGCCCTCCCCATAGACAGGGACTCCCACCCTCCAAGGCGCAGCTTCCTCCCATCATCCACGAGAAGCCAATGTAGGTGGGGCCTGGCACAGAGCAGGCACATCCTGAGTGTCCGCGAGTGAATAAATCAGGGAGTCGAGGAATGCAGAAGGCAGGGAGACAGGCACACGCCTCAGGCCTACCCTCAGGGAGACCATGAGCTAATGGGGAAGACTCGGGCTCTGTCCCGGGGAGGCCCGAGTGAACAGATCTGCAGAACCCCCCAAAAAAGCTCGACCATGAGCTAATGGGGAAGACTCGGGCTCTGCCCCAGGGAGGCCTGAGTGAGCAGATCTGCAGAACCCCCCAAAAAAGCTCAAGGAGGCTGGTGGAGTGGTGGTTAAGGTGCTAGATACCACGTGACTGACCTTGGAGTTTGAGTCCCAGACCCAGCAGCTTGAAAAACATACTGGGGGCTAGCACATGGTGTGGTGGTTAAGGAGCTGGACTCCCACATGGCTGACTGTGGTTCAAGTCCTGGGCCTAGTGGTTTGCTTCCTTACTTTCCCTTTCTCTCGCTCTCTCTGGTCAAAAATAATATAACAAATAAAATGAAATGCATGAATGAATTTTAAAGAAAAGACATATTGGATGTGTGCATATACTCAAAACCTCTTGAGAAAAGAATGGAGGAGAAGAGACTGTGGCATGGCCATCCCCCCCGGAGGTACTTTCTCACTTTCTCTTTCTCTCTCTTTCTCTCTGTCTCTCCAGCAAGTGTGCATACCCTATAGGAAAGTTAAAAGGAAGGAAGGAAGGGGAGTTCTGCTTGGTGCTGGCATGGTCCCCTCTGAAGCTCAGGGCAGGTACGCCCCATCTCTGCTCTAACCAGGGGCTCTACCTGCGTTTCTGGGCAGAGGAATCTTGGCCCTTGGCCTCTCTGTGAGGAATGTGCCCTGGCTAAGGAGCTCCCTGGTGACCAGGGTCTGTCCTGTCTCTGTCCCGTGTCAAGCACAGGAGAGCAGAGTGGTACTCAGGACACACGTGACAGCAGGACAGAGCTGCGGGCCCCTGGACTCCCAGAAGCCAGGGCACAGCACCCAGGGTCAGGCAGACCCGGGGTGCAGCACCAAGGCTACCTCAGCCTCTGCCTCAGTCTCCAGACCCACAGTGACACCCCCAGAGTGGGAGGGGAGGAAGGATACCTTGGGGGCAGACGGAAGGATGGTCACTCTGGGACCTGCCTGGGGCTCATGGATGGGACGCCCCGGGGTGGCCCTGAGGAGAGCGGGGGCACAGGGCTGAAGGAGGTTCAGAGCCTGATGGGCTCCGAGCCTGAGGAGGGAGAAGCTGGGGGGAGAAGAGAACCCCTCCACACCCCTGCGAGCTGCAGTGCTCACGCTCCCAGGCTCGCTCACGGGGGCGGCAGTAATGGATCGGGATCACTGTCTCAGGAAGGCGGATGAGTTTCCATGAGCGAATCTTTTCCATCCTCAAACCAAAACCCAAGTCCCCAGCCCAGAGGGCAAAGCTGCCACTTCCTCTCTGCAGACAGCGAAGACCTAGGCCCTGGGAGAGCCCTGCAGGGCCGCCTCTTACGTCCCAGGCCACACGGGAGGATGGAGGCTCTGGCCACGAGGAGGAGGAGTCCCCGAGGCTCCGTGCTCTGCTGTGATATTCTCGTCCCAGAGGTGAAGTGCCAGGGCTCAGGGCCCCATGGCGGAGGTGGGGTTAAACACTGGAAGTCAGCGCCTTGCTGGGTCCATGCCGAGAAGGAGCAAGCGCTGAGGCTGAAGTCAGGGGCTAGCGCTCAGTGACCACCCCTCCACCTGTCCCTCGCTGGCTGGCATTAGACCGTGAGGTACTGATTCAACCATAATCGTGCTTACGTAATGCAAGGCTAAGCTCCGCGCCTTACAGATGTCAACCCAGGATCCCCAGAACAAACCTAGACGGTGCTATCACCCCCAGTTACAGATGGGCAACTTGAGGCCTAGAGAGGTTACCTGACTTGCCCAATATCACACAGCCAGAGAGGGGCTGAACCAGGATTCAAGCTCAGGGATAATGCTGCCCCAGCTGAGCCCAGGGGCTGCCATGTTTTCTAGGCCTGGCAGAGGTTAGGGACAAAGGTCAGAAGGCCAGGATCAAGGATGACATCCTCCCTCCAGGCTCGCCCTTTCAGGGAGCAGGTCAAGGGGCCTCTCCCAGCCAGAGCTAGCTGGAGAGAGTGTGGTGGAATGGCTCCCCCTTGTCGAGGGGAGGGAGTTGGCCCAGGCTCCAGGGGTGTGCCAGCAATGACAGCAGCCTGGCCCAATGGTGGGGCCCCAGCCTCCCCCAGCTTGCCAGGGAGCAAAGGAACCCCTCCCGGGTTTTTCTATTCTCTGGAGGAGAAAGCGAGGCGGGAAGAGAAGTTGGCCAGAAAGCAGGCTGAACTTGCAAGTTGGTTTAATAACCAATCCCAGCTGTCCTTGTGGGCCAGGGCTCCCTCCCACTGTCCCCGCATGGGGAAATCCAGGCCAGGCCTGGGGCTGGGAATGGTGAAGCCTGTCCCCACACACCCCCAGTCATCAGCTCTGGTGCCTGCAACGGCCCCTCCCCAGCGCCCAGTGCGCTCTGACTGCAGAGAACACCGGGTTCTCTCCCAGCTCCAAGGGAAGAAGGAGGCTCCCAGCGAGCGGTGCCTGCATTTCCCACCCTGATGACCAGGCTGTGCGGGTTGGAAAGTGCACTGCCCTGGTGGGTGCAGGGGGAAGGGCGCTGTCCTGAGAAATGCCGGCATGTGGTGCTGGGAGAGAGGTCGGGCACCCACTGTGCTGTGGGACGCAGAGGGCGGGGCGGCACAGCTGCGACTCCTCACCACTCCCCACTCTCACGAACACAGACACACTCACACATTCGCACGTACCCACACGTTCTTGTACTCACACATGAGAATGTTTGCATACGCACTCTCACACCTACGCCCACACACATCCACACACAGTCACACACGTGTATATATACACGCATACACACACTCGCGGACATACCCACATGCACCTATACACACACCCCTGTGCGTAGACACACTCAGATACTTACATGCACACACTCATCCTCCGGGGCACACTCAGACGCATGCCCTCACTCACTCGCACATACATTCATCCCTTGGGGGTTAGGGTGGCTGGGAAGGAGAAGGGCCTTCTGGGAGGATGGCGTGGTTGGTGGCTGCCAAGGGGTGGGCAGAGGCCTGGGACTGGGCGGGAAGCCCAAGAGTGGGGGCAGATCTGGGAGCCACCACAGAGGCCAGGACAGTGAATGAAGTGGGCCCTGCTCCTGCCTGCTCCCGCCCCCTCCGGCCAGCCCAGCCTCCATCTCTGCATTGTCTCCAGTGCCTGGGCAAGGTTCCCAGGGTGGTTGAGCTGGGGGCCTGGCCAAATGGCCCTCCTCTGGCCTCCCGTTCCCCTCTCTCCTTGTGCAGGGGTGGGGGAGTAGTGGGGGAGAAGGAAGCTTTCCCAAACCCCTGGCATCCCGGCTCCCAGCTCACACAGGCAGCTCATGGAGGAGCTCGGGTGCCAGGGTCCGACCCGACGTCCCGAGCGTGGCCCCACTCCCACCGATCCTTCCTGGGCCAAGCGCCCTTGAAGTCCAGCCCGCCCCCCACCTGTTCTGCCCTCAGTGGGCCCGCCTTGCTCACAGACTGGCTTCGTCTGGGGCAGACGCCCTCTCCCTCATCTTCTACCCAGAGCAAGGAGAACACAGCGTCTTCCTCTAGAAGTCCCAAGGAATCACCTGGGGTCGGGGAGTGGACCCAAAGTGACTCCTTCTCTGAGAGGGAGCTAGCTCTTCACTGTCCCCTCTGAGACCTTCCCCACTTGCCCCTAACAGCCTTCATCCAAAAGGGAGCCCCTCGCCTCTCCCCGCTGAGGCTGGAGAGCTGGGCCGCTCTCACAGAGGCTGTGTCCCAGCCGTCCCGCCCGGACCCCTGTGGCTTCCCTCTCGGGCCCTGTGGGTAACAGCAAGAACAAGCCATGCTGCTTCACAGGGCTCGCATCCGGGAGGGGCCCCTCCTGGCCCTGGGCAGGCCAGGTGCCCTGTCCTCTTGTCCACCTGGCCCAAGGGGTTTTTCCAAAACAAGTCAGATCCCATCCAGCCCTTGCTTAAAACCTTTCAAAGGTTTCCCAGTGCCCTCAAGATAACTCCTTAACACAGCACATGTGGGACCTGCCGTGTTCCCCACCTCCACTGCCCCTCATGCTATGAAAGGACCCCTCCCTCTGTCCAATTATGGGGTGCTGTCCTCCCCTCCCAGCTCACTCTCATCCTGCAGGCCTCGGCTCCACCTGCCCTGGGAAGCCTCCCTAGGTCTGGATCTGAAGCCCAGGCCTTCCCTCTGCAGAGATCCCAGTATCTCTCCTCTCCCAGCCCTGGCTGCAGTGTGTTGGGGGGGGCCTGTTGGTTGAGCAGCCTTTTCACCTCAACCAGGAGCTCCAGGATGGGGGGGCACATCCACCTTACTCTCCATCAGGCCCCCAGTTCCAAACGCAGCACCCAGCACAGAGCAGGGGCTGGGTAAATGGCTACTCTGCAGGGCTGGCCTAGTGTGCGGGAAGGCTGGCTCCCCACTCTCTGGGAAGGGCCCTACACGGTCCCTCCACCACC